ATTCTCTATTCAGAGGTGTCACTGAACCTTTTCTTCCCCTGAGCTACTTTCACAGGAGTGCCTTTATAATCACATTTTTGGACATGAAAGGAAAGTAGTGAGAGGAGAACTGCCTTTGGGCTCACAAGTGGATTTTCCGCTTGGTTTCACTACTTAACGAATTGTGTGTTCTTAGGAAGCTTATGCAGCCTCTCTGGGCTCCGGTTTCTCTGTCTTTCAAGGGATTATAACCCTTGGTAATAGGGTAATTGGGAGGAATTCATGGGACAGAATATTCATGGCACATAGTAGCTCCTCATTAAAGTTAGTGTCTCCCTCATTCTGGCCCCATCAGTGTGCATAGCTATTTTTTTTTATCTCTCTCAACAAAATATGTATTTATTAATTAACTTGGTATATGTTAAGTGAGCCAGACATCCAAGATATCTAGCCTTGAGCATATGTTTTAGTAAAAGGGGAGAAACAAGAAAAAAAATAAGTAAATCATATGGTATACTTGAAGGTGACACATGCCATAGCGAAAAGGAAGCAGAGCAGATGAAGGGAGGCGAGGAGTGAGGTGGAGTGCAATTTTAAATAAGGCAGTAAAGGTAGGCCTCACTGAGCAAAGACGTGATGGAGATGAGGCAATTAGCCACATGGGTCCGAGCGGAGAGAATTCTAGGAGGAAGGAATGGAGAATGCAGATGCCTTAAAGTGACAGTGTTCCTGGAATGTCCCAGAAACCACAGGGAAGCCAGTGTGGCTAGACCCAAGTGAATAAGGGGACAAAATAGGAGGTGATGAGACAGAGGGGATTAATAAGGGGGCAGATATATACTTCTATTAGAGCATAGATTCTGAAAGTTATACCTTTGTTTAATAGCAAATTTATTTTTCTACAATACTAGGATTTGAAGAAAACAAGGAGATAACATTTGATAAAAATACATTGTGCCAAGGGGTGAATGAAGGATAGAGGGAGACGAGAAAGGGAGCGGCCCTACTGGAGCCTATCTATCCAGAAACTGAGTTCCCTAAAGAGCTCCTTGTACAGGACCTGGGCAGGTAACTCAATTGATTAGAGCATCGAGAAGATACGTCAAGGGCTCGGGTTTGATCCCTGGTTGGGGCACACATACAAGATTAAACCAATGAATGCATAAATAAGTAAAACTACAAATCAATTTTTTTCTCTCTCTTCCTCTCTAAAAATTAATTAAAAAGAAAAAAAATAAGTTTATTAAAGAAAAAAAATAGAGCTCCTTGTACACTGATTCTGGTTTCTTCAGGTGTAACCCACTCCCACCCATCACCCTCACCCTGATCCCTACCTCCCCCAGCATGGCCATTCGTGAGACAATCTCTTGTGGGAACTCCTTCCAGCTTTTATCTCCCCAGCTTCCTTAGGGCTCTCCTGTCCTTCCATGAACTCACTCCCTGGTCACTGATTGGTCCAGGGGCGGGCATCAGACTGAGCTGGACCAATGATGCCCTCCCCGTTTTTTTTGTTTTGTTTTTAAATAGGGGATTAGTGAGAGACTCAGAACAGTCTCTTGCTGGTGGTAGGGTGTGTAAAAATGTAAAACTACTGGGAACCATGTGTGGAAAAAAAATGTGTGAAAAAAGCCTGTTTCTGGTGAGAGAAAAATGAAGGGATTCAGAGAGAGGAGAGGCCAGAGAAGGAGGAAGAGGTGGAAGGGGGGCTGGGCCCTCCGTTCCCGTTTCAGTTGTTTCAGAATTTGCCTCCCTGCCCTCCCGCTGTTTGGTTGTTGAAGTGTGCCTTGGATTCTGGGGCAACACGGTTCCTTTCATGCCTAAGCTCGTTTGAATCTGGTTTCTCTCATGTGCATCTTAGATAACCCACTGCCGAAGTTTCTTTGAAGTTTCTCTGAGGCATCTACACAGAGTTTCACTTTTAACAACCTCCCACCTGCCTTCGGTTTAATTTCCTTTAGACAATGCCGGCCATGAAAGCCACATGTCCACAGTCTAGGACAGCTTTTCCGTCCTTTTTCTATTTTGTAAGCTCCTCCATGAGAAAAGAGGTTTTCACTCAAAGGCATCTGGGAAATAAATGCGGCATGGGATACTGCTGTCTCGATGGAGTCATGGGAGCGTCTGAAAGCCTTCCTGCCATGCATGCCTGTGTTTGCCTGGTCTAACCAGAGCTTCCCAGGGCTTTTGTATTCTTGGAGCCCGTATGATCCCAAAAGCCTGGCATTCCACAGGGCCCGCCTGGGGGCACACTGACCAGGCTCACGTGAGACGGAGCCTGCCCTCTTTAAAAGGGCATATTTCCAGGATGTCCTGTGCAAGGAGGTTTGGCCAAGGGGCATCCTTGTGCAAGGCGCTGTCAGCCCAGAGAAAAGGGCACTTTTGATCATTTTCACAGTCACCCTCTATTCGCTCAGCATGAGCCCATTGGTCTGGGTCAACCCCATGGGGGTGCCTTTTCCTAATTTACCTATGGGTGCCCAAGGTCCCTCCTATGTCAGAATTACACCCAGAGGGGTGGTTCCCCCCACTTCTTCCTTAAACTCATGAGAGATGAAGCTGTCCATGAGGCAGGGCAAGAATTAGCAGAGGCTGCTTTGAGCAGATGGGACGCCCAGATGTTGAGGTGGTGGAGGCCTCCTGTTACAGCTGTGAGACTTTGGTAATGCTCTCTGCCTCTGGGGCCGTATGACTGTCCCCTTCCCCCCCCACCCCCGCCCTCCCCCTCCCTCCGCCTCCCAGCTACAGGCCATCATGATCATGCTTCCGCTGTTCACACTTGGCCGAGAGCTCTCATTTGGTCCTTCAGCCATCTTTGTCACGGGGACGGGTTCTGTTTGCTTTGTTGATCTCCACTTTATGGAGGAGGTCACTGAGGCTCACCCTCGCATCCTCAGCTGCACCAGGAGCAACGGGAGAGCTGCAGGGTGGATCTCGGGTCTGTCTCTCTGATACTACTTTCCCGCCTCACGACCCTGCCTCTGTCATCAAGCCCTAGTCATCATACTCCCTCCGCAGACATATTTCCAATAATTCCTCAATCACTGCCCCAATATCTCCTGTGAGGACTTGGGCTCCTTTCTCCGGGGATTGAGAGGTGGTAGGAGGGAAAAAGAACCAAGGTATTATCTGTGGGGCTATGCAGCTTGGAAAGGGAGGACGGGGACTGTCTCCTGGGTCCAAGGTGGGCTAGGGTGACCTAGGCCTAGCCATGTCACCCACCTTGGGAGCAGGACTCACTTTTACGTCCTCATTTCTATCCTTTTCCACAGGAAATTCAATAAGCAAATATGTCCTGAAATTTACGAGGCAGCATCTCTCTCTAAACCAAGATCCAGCTCCCAGGACCCAGGACTATCAGATGCAGGCTGTCCTCTGGGATGTTCTGGAGAGCTGGGCTCTGCGGGTCAGCAGTCAGAGCTTAGTGGGAACACACACTTTTATCCCCCTGCTGGAGGAGAGGGGCACTGCATATGTAGAAGGGGGTTGGGGAAGAGCACTGCATGCAGAAGAGTGGGTGGGATCAACTAAATGTCCCTGAGCAACAGCAGGGGGTTTGAAGGCCGGGAGCAGGGGCAGCTGCCAGGAGACAGAAGTACCTGGAATGATGTGTGTGGTGGCCATTGTACCTTTCAGCTGGAGGAGAAAACTAACGAACCAGTGTGAGGTGAGCTCTCCCTAGCAGGGTGCGCAAGCGAGGATGCCGGGAGGAAGGGAGAGCATGGTGGTGGGGAGAGAGCTTGGAGCTTGTGCTCAGTGAGCCCTGGAGTGGGAGCCTTTGCTGCCTCAGAAGCCTGGAAGGCCCGGGCAGGGGCAGGATCGGCTGCAGGAATCACGGGTGGGGGCTGCAGAAAGTGGGGCCGGGGCTGCTTGACCTCCATGTCCCCCTGATTCTCCCCCCACCCCCCAACACACACACACACACACTCCTCAGCTCCACCATGAGGGCCCTGGCCTCCCTCCTGCTGGGGGCTTCTCTCCCCTCCATCCTTCTTTCTGGTCCCTCCTCAGGCCCATCCTGTGAGCCCCTTCTCCACTCCTAACCTTGATGCCCTGAACACAGCATCAGTCTTATTGGGTCTTTTGCATCCACAGTCCCCTCCCTGGGCACCTTTTTACTTTCTCCACCTGGTGGAATTCCAGCTGAGTCCAGCATCCCTGGGCTGCATCACTTCATCTCTGCTTTTGCCTTCACATCGCCCTCTCCTCTATCCACACCCTTCTTATGAGGACCCAGGACAATCCCGAGATCCCATTCAGATGCTGCATGTTCTAGGGTGCTTTCCCTGCACCTTCCTCTCTTCCCCCAACACTCCCACCTCCCCCGTCCAGGTGGCGGCCACAGCACCAGCCACACTGGGGTCACAATGGACTACCATAGTGTGTCTCCTCTTCTAGTTTGTTATCAAGGAATCAGCCTTTTGCACCTTAATGGTCTGACTTTGGTGCAAAGCATGAGGTAGCATATATGGTAAATGAATTATTTGTTGACTAAATAAATTAATAAAGCTTAGGCCCCCAGGGTTCCCACAGGCGTGGGGCGGGGCCCATGAGCCCGTATCCTTTAGATGTCCAACACTGCACAGCCCCTCCACCTTCTTCCATAGAAAGAAGTCTGCTTTCTTTCCCATTGGGCCTTCTGGCTGGAGTGGGAGATTCAGTATGACTGGGAGAAGGAGGGGCTGGCCTATCCTTTCCTCCTCCTGAAATCAAGCCAGACACCTCCCAACCATACCTGTTGACTTGAACCCTCCCAACACTTCTCACCGTACTGGCTTTCTAACACTCCCATCACCTACCCCTCTCCCATCTATGAAATTAAACAAACAAACAAAAACACACACACACACACACAAAAACTCATACCAGGGGCATCCCTACCACTCACTGGCAGGCCACCAACCCCTTGGCAGAGATCAGTCCTTCATAGGTGTGCCAAGACAGCCCACTCGGAGCAAATCAGTCTTCAAAGTCCTGCTCCCCACCGCCACCCCCCATTGCCCAGGTCCCTGTGCCCAGCTCACCTGTCTCTCCCCAGATGGGCAGGTACTCATCCTGCTGAATGTCCAGCATGATCTCCAGCCCGTTGCCTGTCCCCCCCTTGACCGTGGTGAGCAGAGGTTTGCCATCCTCGCCTGAGTTAAACATGTAACACTTCCCATATTTTGTAAACACCTGAAGGAGAGAAGAGAGAGAGAGAAGCACATGGGTGACTTCAGACTGTGCTCTAGAGACAGGTGAGACCCCAGAAATCCAACAACCGGCCAGAGTCCCCAAACCCATCACCATCAACCCCAGTCAGGGACCAAGGATTCCTCACCCTGACTAATGGCCTGACTTTTGCCCCATGGGATTCTGGCAGGAAAGAACGAATCTGGACATCCCCTGGGTCTGTGCAATGGGAGCTGGTCTCTTCTCCATCTGAATGCCCCTTCTGCCCACATTGGTAGTCAGCTCTTAACCTTCCAATCTGCACCTCCTATCCTGAGATCTTCCCTGAGCTCCAGACATACTGATCCCACTGCCTAATAAGTATGACCTCCAGGGGACCACAGACCCTGGACACTCACATGTCACAGTGGGAACAAATCTTCCTCAGCCAACCCCTCCCCCAACCATGGTGCCCCCCCCCCCCCCCCCATTCTTATTCCCAGAAATAGCATCACTACTTGCCAAGGGGTCATATCCTCTTCCTTTTTGCCTGGCTTTTTCTATCACATGCATGTGGCCCTACTATGAGCAAGGATTTGGGGATGGCAAAGCAGCACAAGCCCTACCACCTGCCTCCACAATCTATAGGAAGGGTCAGCCAAACAATAGAGTCCACGTGTTTCTCCGCTGAACAAAATGGCTCCGAGTCCCTCCCTGGCAGGTGAACTATTTCAAAACTGACAGGCCCTACTCTCCTGGCTCCGTGGTGGAGACAGCCGGAACATGATTTTTCAAAGAACTGAGCTTTATCATCATTACTGTATGTAGCCACTGAAGTTGGCTAACAAACTTGTCCCCCAGAGAGAAGCTCTTGGGGATAGCTATGATGAATGGACCAGAGCATTTTCTAGTGAGTACGCCCACTGCCGGATTGAACATACCCAGAGTGACTTCAGGGATGCTCCAATAGAGGTTTTCTTTGTAGACCCACCAATAACCACTTTGGTTCCAAAATGGTTCGTAATATGAATCTTCCTGTCTATAATGGCATTTGTAAGGAGTACACTCCAGCTTAGCACCAGATCACCGGAAATCCTAGCTCCCCTCCCCTTCCATCTGCCACTTGAACTTCAGAATATCGGGCTGGAGTTAGAATATGCTGTCTACTCCTGGAGTCACCTGTGCTCCCGGCCCTGACACAGACATGCTGTGTCGCACTGATAAAGGAATCGAACCTCTTTGAGCTTCCGAGGGTGAGGACCCGGTATGAGGGCTAAAGAAGGACCTTAGAGATGATCTTGCCCGCCTGCCTGACTTCACAGGTAAGGAAATGAGACCTGGGAGAGAGGAAGTGACCTGCCCAAGGCTATGCAGCAAGGTTGTATCCATCTGGGACACATACTCCTAGCTCAACCCGATCCTTCCTTTATACCAGTCTCCCTCAGTTTCCCCACTTGTAAGAGGAGATGAAGGGTCTAGGGCGTTGTTACCTTCAGTGGGTCATTGCCTGAGTGCCTGTTCTGTCCCGGGCACTGGGCTGGCAGCATCAACGCCTCATGAATTAGTCTTTCCCCATACAGGAGGGAGCAGACAGGTCCTTGATGCCCCTTTCCAGGCCTGGCACTCATCCTGGGCCCAGGTGGCAGCTCCTGCAGGTGCCTCAGGGTCAGTCCCATCTTTCCTGCTCCCTGCTCCGGGGGGCAGGCGCTGGGGCAAATGCACAAAGTTGCCAGGTGTGGACTGACACAGAAGAGAGCCTGAGGAGGGATGGTGGCAACCAGAGCGGCAGGGCAGGGAGCTTAAAGGTGACTGCAGCCATGTCTGAGAGACAGCTGGGGACAATCTGAAACAGCCAAGTTCTTTATCAAGTCAGGACCACCACAAAGAGGCCCAACACCACCCTTCTGTGGCTTCCTGGTGAATTTAAATCCTCCCAGGGCTCGGCAGGGGCTCCCTCTCTCCCCTCTCTCACGTGTCACACACACACAGGCCTCTTCAGCTTTTGGGATGTGCAGCCAGCTCACCCCCCATGGGCCCTTCCTATATACTGTCTCTTCTGCCTAAAGCAATGGTCAGCAAACTGTGGCTCGAGAGCCACATGCGGCTTGCGAGCTGGTGGTTCGCCGCTCTGTTGACTAATGAGTTTGCCGACCACTGGGAACAACAACAGCCTATAATTATTGGAATCGAGAGTCTAGGTCAGTGGTCGGCAAACTCATTAGTCAACAGAGCGGCAAATCGCGGCTCTCGGGCCGCAGTTTGCTGACCACTGGCCTCGAGTGTTCTTCCCACACCCTTTGCCTGGCCACTTGTGTCAAGCCTTGGATTAAATGCCACCTCTCCAGAGGCACCCAGACCTGGCTCCCAGCCTCCATTTAAACTGGGCTTCTTGTTATATGACCTCGAACCCCTGCTTTTTTCCTTTAGAGAAACATCAAACTATGCAACTGATCATTAGTTGGACGTGTCTTACACTGAACTGTAAGCTCCTAGAGACGAGGGCTGTGTCTGTTTTGTCACATGAACGAATGGACGGGCTAGAGGGTGCTGCTAAGCCCCACCCTCTTGCCCACCTCTGGGAGGCGCCCTTTGGGGCTGGCCAGCAGCCGGCCCGGTTCTGGCGGGAGCTCAGGCTGACACCTCCTCTCCATTCCTCTGCTCTGGCCTTCTCAGCTTCCCACTTAATTTTTTTTTAAAAATACATTTTATTGATTTTGTACAGAGAGAAAGGGAGAGAGATACAAAGTTAGAAACATCGATGAGAGAGAGTCATCGATCAGCTGCCTCTTGCACACCTCCTACTGGGGATATGCCCGCAACCAAGGTACATGCCCTTGACCGGAATCGAACCCGGGACCCTTCAGTCCCCAAGCCGACGCTCTATCCATTGAACCAAACCGGTTTCGGCAGCTTCCCACTTAATTTTACTGAAGCATTTTTTGGGTGCTTCTCTCTGTGAAGGTATTAGAGGGAATCATCCTTTCAGGAACTAAAGACAGTTTACCTTGGTAGGGGCAGGAGAAGGAGCTCAGACTCAGCAGGGCACCCTCATTCAGCCCCCGTCCCCCCTGGCCTGCCCGCTGAGCCCTCTGTTCCACCCGGCTTTTCCAAGAGGATTATTTTCCTCTCTGCTCAACATCAAAGGCCCGAAGGCTATTTACACGCAGTGCAGTTTTGCTACAAACTTGGGACAAGATGCAGCTCTCTTCCCCATCTCGGGGCATAATGATGTGTAAGAATAACACGCACTTGGAACTTATGCCTTATCACCGCCAGCCAAGACCCACAATTTATTTAAGTCCAGACTGTCAGTTGGGTGAGCGCACTGCTTCTTCTGAGCCGCCAATCTCCCGGGCCCATCTCTGCGCCCCGGGCTGCTGACAGATCAGTCCTGGCTGGCAGGGTTGGGTTTGCAGAGTCTAGAATTGCTCTTAGTTGGATCAATTGGTAAGAATACATGGTGCACTTTCCACCCTGGATGTCTAGGAGTGATGGGGGATCCTGAGATAAAAAAGGGGCCACGACTATCATCTCCATTGCGAACATTTTGCATGGTGCGAGATGAATGGCCCCATGAAGTTGAGGGAGAGAAATGGACAATCCCTGAGCCTCTGCTTTTCCTCATCTGAAAACTGGGCCCGATAATCTTGCTGTGTGAGTGTAAGGCCTAAGTGAGAGAATGAAAGTAGATTTGTTTGGAAGAATACACAAGAGATAACTACTAGTTATGAGTCCATACTCGGGGTGGGGGTGGAGTTACTGTTTCTCCTCCTCAGCAGAAGACAGATACATTTTTGGGGTGATGGGGGAAGGTCAGAGATGAAGTGAAGAATGAGGGGATTGTCTTGTCTGCTTATGTCTCCACAGTAGCAAGCTCCTCTCAAAGTAGTTAGAGGGGTGAAAACCACCAGGTGCCACTGATGGCTTACCTATATATATATATATATAAAAGGCTAATATGCAAAGTGTCCCCTTGGGAGTTCACTTTCTCGCTGTGACGTGTGCTGACCACCAGGGTGCGGTGTGGAACAAAGGAAGGCCTCAGCTGGCAGGCAGAAGGCCCCAATCAGCCCTGATTGCTGGCCAGGCCTAGGGACCCTACCAATGCACGAATTTCCTGCACTGGGCCTCTAATTCCTTAATAATGTTAAGCCTGTTGCTAGAAGCCCAGGGCGACCAATGAGATCCGGGGGCCATGGAGTTCTGTAGGAAGGAGGTGCATTGATGCTTACAACTCATTTTGAAAATCTATATTTAAATCCCAATAACCAAACTGCATCCAGTTATGGGTACAGTGGACAGACACCCCCAATCTGAAACTGACCCATTCTAAGTCAAAGAGACATGGTTGTGGGGACAGGGAGAGGGTCTCACTGCCTTCCAGTAGCTCTTCGAGTAGGTCTTAAATCACCGACTGGCTCTGCTGCTCTCCCTGGATTGCCATTCACTTTATATTTGCTGTCACTAATTTCTGCAACAGCCCCATCAGATTGTTGTCATCACTCCCATTTTACAGATGAGAAAACTGAGGCCTCGAAAGGCCGAGCCAGGTGACAGAGCTGATAAGTGGAGAATCCAGGGTAAATCCATCTTTGCCTAATTCCAAAGCCTGGGCTCTTTGCTCTCTGGACCCTACAGCTTACACTCACACACCCTCCCAACCAACTCTGTTCCCAGCACGTGAGACTGGTGCTTTGCTGACACTAAGGCTCTCCCACTTTAGGGTGAGGTGCCTCTCAAAGGCACAGAATCCTGGGGACATGCAGGCAACAAAAACACCCAGAGAGGTGACATGATCTGCCCTAATTCACACAGCTTGTTTGGGGGCAGAGTTGAGATCTGACCCAGGTTTGATGGCTCTTCCTCTCAAGCCATCTGTTTGCACATGCCATGGCTAGGCTCCCAGCGCTTTGCATCCAGTAATAAGAGAAAGATTGGCAGCTGCTGCTGGCCCAGGTGCCAGTATCCAGGCTCAGCGTGATCTGTTGGGGCACCCTGCCTCAGAGTCCGGGAAATGCAAAGTG